CTATTTAAAAGAGCTTCATGAATGTTCATTTTCCTTCGTGCCATTTTTACCCAACTGAGTCAGTCCTTGAAGCTGAAGGAATAATTAACTACAAAGGGAGGGGGAAAAAAACATTTTAGTTTTCATTCTGCACATCTTTTTTCCCCATGACTTATCTCTCTAAGACACTTCTTTTTCTTTTGTTTTCTCTTTGCCTCACTTTACCAGGATACAGCCAGCCCGTTTCACAATAAAAACAGCAGATTCTCAATCATCCCCTCCACTGTACAGGAAACACCCATGATTGCACCCAGCAGCATCTTGATTTCCCCATGGAAAACCTCTGCTATTAAGCTACCAAATTCTTTGATTCTTTAACCTTCCAATTATATATATATATATACACCCATCAATCTTCGTCACTTTTCTTCCCCGCTAGACCCTCTCTCTCCTGTTTTTTTTTTTTTTTAACTTCTATATTGTCCTACCCTCGATAATACTGATGGGTTCTTCATGTAACCCCTCTTCTGTCAATGGTTTCTACAACTTTCTTGCACAAGGACTCGATGAGCTTCACCAATCCTTCATTTCCCATAACTTCATGTCAGTTCAATTCCTCTCAGAGGTGCTCTCATCTCTCCGATCCTTTCATTCACAGTTAACAGTTTTGGTACAAAAGCTTCGCTTACCAGGTGGAGGAAAATGGTTGGATGAATACATGGATGAAAGCTCAAGGCTCTGGGATGCTTGTCATGTCATGAAATCTGCCATTTCTGGAATGGAAAATTGCTGTTCAGCTGCCTCCACTGTTGCTTCCTCACTGGATACCTACCAGCATCTCACTCCAGAGATTTCACGTCAGGTTAGTAATATACAGAGATTCATTTCAGATATCATACCCCGGAGGACGCCATGAATGCTTTGGTTTTGAAAAATGGTCCTGTTTCATTCTCTTGTCCTTTTTATCTTAACTTGCATCAAGTCAAAAAAATTTATGAAAAAAACATCACTTTCTTAAAGGTACACCTGCTAATGGTTACACCCTACTAGTGAGTTACAAATGTTAAAGACACAATTCATACAGAGAAATAAGTCAAAGATCACGTATTCTTTTCAAGAACTGAACTACATATTTACTCAAGAAATTTTCTTAACTTGCATCAGGCCAAAGAAATTTATAAAATTTCATCATTTGGTTAAAGATATACCCCTTACAGCCTTGTTGAACATGTTTTCCTCACATTTTACAGACTCTGAAGGAAAAAGTTAAGAGCATTTGTATAAATTTTATATTATACAGTGATATATTTGATGTTTTTAAAATAATTCATTGAGAAATAAATCTCGCACCAGGTTTTTTTTTTTTTTTAAGAACCAAACAGTATATTACTCAAGAATTTTTTCATGGGTATTTTCACAAACAGGTTTTATCCGCTCAATAAACATATACCAGAGGGAAATTCTAGTACTGGAAGAGGAAAACAAGAGCTTAATGGAAACAAGAATTCAACCATTGTCTCTGTGCCTGAACCAGAACATCCCAATGGAATCAAAATTAAACGGTTTCAGTGGGTTTCGAGGGTGTTCTTCACGCAATGAGGAGTGTAAGTTCATTGCTTCTGCTGATTCTTCTTTCTGGGCTCGCTTACTGCTGGTCTGCCTCCTTCTTTCAACAACGCGACACGGAAGAACACTCAGGATTCGAATGTGGGTGATGGATTCAATGGCTAGACTGGAGCAAAAAGTGGGAGAAGAGATAGAACAGAACGAAGGACAAAGTGGGATTTTGCTGTTCGAGTTTCAGCAAGCGAGGATTGCCATGGAGGAATTGAAGGAAGCATTGGAGAGAACAAGAGAGGGACGTGAAGGATTTGAGATTGAAGAGAAAGTTGAGAAGTTGAAGAGCTGGATTGGGATGTTGAGATGTGGGGTTGATCCATTGCAGGACAGACTGATGATTTGGTTGATGAAATAGTGCAAGGAAGGAAGAAGCTTTTGGACATGTCTAGTTATATGTAGACTGAGACGAAGATAACAAGGAGAAAAAAAAATTGCTTAACAATCATTTTTATTTTTTTTTATCTCATTTATTTGTTTTAATTTGCTCCATTTTCTGTTCTTTTAGTTACTATTTCAGTTTTTTTTATAAAATATTCATTTTCCATTTTATTATGTTCTATTACTACAAAGTGCAAGCGGGTTGGTAGTCAATAGATAAATATGTTGCAAATAAAAATATGGAGAAGTGAAGAGATAAGATTAGTGGAGAATCATACTGAAGATATGATAAATACAATAAAAGTTCATGAAATGAATGCATAAATATCTATGAAGTAAAACAAAAACAAAAAAATAATTAGCCTAACCATTTATTGCCAATTAGCGAAACTCTGGTCGTTTACGATTACACCAATCATTAAACACTATTGATTGTCACACAAACTTCAAGTTTAAAGTTTTATTAAGCACTAAATATGAATATATTTTTAATGAAAATTTAAATTTTAATTTATCAAATTGTGCTAAACCAACCCAGTGGGTCTAATCACTACTTGTAACTCTAGTGAATAGTTGTTTTTTTTTTTTCCTTTGGGTAACACTAATGACTAATTAATTATGGAAAAAAGTGGTCATGATGGCATGATAGAAATAGAATCCAAGACCACTTGTTTTTAAAAAAATTAACCAAAGAGTGGACGATTGATGCATTTTAACAATATATTATAAAATATTATATATGAGTAATGACTAATTTTCAAAATAAAGATAAATATTTTGGACATCTATAAATAACAACTTAATTATATTAGTAAATAAAAATATTGAATTTCAGTAAATAACAACTTGAGTGTATAAAAATAACATATTAATTTTTTTGGTACAAAATAACATACTAATTTTATGTAAATAACAATTAAATATTATGTAGATAGAACTTGGGTTTCGATAAATAACCAATTAATTATAAGGAAATATTGATTTGACTTCTGGTAAATAACAACTTGGATTTCTATATTTAATTTATATAAATAATAAGTTAATCATCAATCTCAATCTTATATCTAAAATTTGGATAATAATAAACAATATATGAACAGTGTCATTCTCGTTTTGTCCTTCCAAACTTTTACGAGAATGACAGTTGTGTCCTAGACACTTAAACTAATAATAATTCCGTTCCCGACAATTTTTTTAAAAACTAAGTTTACAACATCAATCAAAATAATTACAAATTTAGAGTTTTAATTATAAATAAGTATTTAAATATTAAATGTAATTTTTTAGATAGTAACAGAAATTTATATTTGAACTGTTTGAACTAATATTTATAATTTATTTTTAAAAAAATTTATGAAAAACTTAGTTATTATTAATTGAATTTTTTTAGAGTTGACTGTCATTTTTCCTAAACCTTTTCTTCCTCTATAGCTTTGTTATTCTTTGGGGAAAATCATAACCAAGGACCCTAGAAAAAACATATTCACTGCTGAGAGCCAATAATTCTGATTTAATACCCTAGTACTTAGGGTTTTAACTGTAATTAATTATAATTGTGAAAATGTGTTATTGCCCCGAGTGTTTAAAGCCGTTTCTATTGACATAACTAAATATATTCATGTTACGAATAAGTCACCATTTATAAAATAACAACACTCTGTTTTATTTACTAAGAAATAATTCTCATAGTAACAAGTCCAAAATAAAGTCATTTCTATTGACAAAACCAAGTGTATATATGTGGTAATCAAGTCACATTTGCAAAATAATAACACTCTAATTCATTTTAATAAGAAATAATTCCTATAATAACAAGTTCAAAATAAAGCCATTTTTATTGATAAAACTAAGTGTATTCATTCATATAGTAAACAAGTCATCATTTGCAAAATAACAACTCCATTTCATTTCAACAAGAAACAATTCTTATAGTGACAAATTCAAAAGAAAGCAATTTTCATTGATAGAATCACGTATATAAATCTAGTGAACAAGCCACTATTTACAAAATAACATACTTCATCACATTTTAATAAAAAAATAATTTCCTTATAATTTATCCAGAATACAGTTAGGGACAATTGCATATTTCGACAATCACAATTAATTACAGTTAGAAACTTGGAGATTTCAATGTTAAATCAGAATTTATTCATTTATTGGTTCTTAATTGTGAATATGTTTCTCCAAGGTCTTTGGTTGTGATTTTCCCTTTTCTTTGCTATTAGTGAATCCCACTGTTATCATATTTTTCTTAAAACAAATTGGATGGATGGATATCAATTAATACTTTTTAACACATCCTTGGATCCTCTGGCCATTTTTCAATATTATTCTTTCTAATTTTTCCATCAGCGGTTTTGTTATTTCACTTTTATTTTTGGGAGTTTTTTTTCTAATTTTCTTGAGTCTAATTTCGTTCATATAACTTTTATCATAATATTACTTTTCAAGACGCCACACCTTAAAACGCCATCTTATAATTTGAATTGGATACCAAATAAATAGAAAAGTAGTAAATTATTGTCCTAAATTTCCATGCATTGCACAGGTGTTAAGTCTGATTTACTCCCTCCATTGAATATTATAATTAATTGAATTATACCCACAATGAGTTAGTTAATTATATTTAAAATTACATACTCTTTTCAAGTTTATTTTTATTTCATAAGGTGTCTCAATGAAAAAATTAAGGCTATTTTTATTAATTACATCATCTAATTAAGGCTATTTTTGAAAAAAAAAACCATATTAATGGTACCTTGACTTGCGCTAATCATAATTTATATTTTTTAACATGGTATTTTAAAAAAGTGCCTTATTATATTGAAGGGAAGGAGTGTGTAAATAACAAGTTAATTTTATATAAATAACAACTTAATTTGTACCAATCATATATCAACTTTGAACCTAGGGGCACTAGCTAGGTTCAACTAGTTGAGGGAATTAAATCAACTTATCATAAATTTTGAGTTTGAATCTTAAAATATGCAATCATATTTAAATAAATATATTAAAAGCATTCTCGAGGTATCCATGAAGCTATCATTGATAATAATAGTCTCATATAGCAAGAGTTTCAATTACTCTGAGCAAGAGATGGTAATACCTCCAAGTTTTCAAAATCAAAAAAAAAAAAAAACAAATTTGTAAGATAGCAAAAAAAAAAAAAAATACATGAGTAGTGGTGAAGAAGATGAAAGCAAGAATGTGAAGTTAAGCAAAAGAAAGTGAGAAAGATGAGTAAGAATCCAATGCAGTACCCTGAAACAAAGACAAATGCTTGAAGACTGTTTGTTGATTACAAAATGGATGATGATAGATATTATTGGATGCATGTGTTGCTTTCAGCGTCCAAAGAATCTAATGCCTCAAATTGGAAATTACTGAATCAACCAAATTCTGTTATAAATAAAGTTGTGGAGGATAAAGATATTCTCCTTGTTCGGATGCAACACTATCCAACTTCAACATGGCGGGAGTGTTTCTCAAGATTGGTCTTTGATGCCTGTGAATTTCATACTATATGTTAATATATTATCATTATCATTATTATTAGTATTATTATTATTAATTTGCAGAATAAGTCTACAACATTGGTGATGCAGTGATATCTAGAAGCCCACTGAACTCTCTTTTTAATGGGAAGAGATCATTGCTTTTTTTGGATTAACATATAATTTTTTTTTTTATTAATAGATCGTCTCTTTCATCAAGTCTCTAACTGATAATTAGATGTTAACAATGTTAAAAAATCTTGAATTGATCACTAAACTCAGAATATTACATCATTCATCATCAAGATGCTCAAGCTGTGTACGTGGATATTCCTCCTATGGTGTATAAAATAATTATCCTTGAAATAAGGTACTGAAAAATCAGATCGGCCATAAACTGATTGAGACATTGATTCAAAAATTAATAATCAAAATTATAATCAAATCATAATCAGATCCATCATATAAATAAAGCATTTCATTCAACCGATCAATGCCAATGATTTGCTAATTCAATTAGTTAGATTAACCCGATTCAATATCATGCTTTGAATATTTCTATTCTCGCGCACGTGAAATTACCTTTCAATCCCTTGTGTGTTTGCTCGCGCGCCCGCGTGTTCTAGTTGTTACACCATTCATGAGTCTCACTCTCACAACTAACATATCACCAATCTACATTTTAACGACAACCAAATAAAAAAATCCATGGCAAATTGCACTATATGCAAAATGTAAATAGTAGAAGGCATTTTTTAAAGTCTATGCCACAAGAAAACAGGTAATTCAATTGCAACTGAACAACTGTTTGTTAGAGAAATGGAACCACATTTTTGTTGGCTCTTGATCCCTTTTCTCTTATAATACATTTTAGGGTCCGATGAGCTATAGACCAGTTGCACTGGTTAGTCCAACCCAGTCTGCTCAATTAGGATATTTAAGATGAGACTTGCATTAAATTAATTCACAACCTCAGCATCTTCACTGTGTGTGTGTATGAAGGACCAAACAAATTTTAACAAGCTTTGGGATGACATTTCTAAAGAATCGCAATCTGGAATCCACTCCAGCAAACATGTACCAAGCAGCAACCAAGTCTTTTTTCATTTCTCAAAATGTAGAGGCTGGAGGAAGGAACTGCTTGCATCATTGATGACTACAGAGGGAGGAAAATCACTGGCTGCTCCTTCCAAACAAAATTCACCATTGCAACTTGAAACGGTGTGACTCTGGCATCTGAATTAATTGGCTCAAGAAAGCAAAATCACAATGCAAAATCCTAGAATGAAGAGTCACACAAATTAGGAACTTGAATTGAAGTGGGAACATCCCTATACTAACACAGCACCTCATCTCTTATACCCAATCACCTAGTGGGCTAGTGGTATAAGGCTTCTTCTTCTTGTTGTTGTGATTTGAGGAATCCAATCAGAATCCTCTACATTCACAAAAATAAACACATATAGTGCATTTGGAAGGAAAACAGACCAACAAATAGAGAGAGATGATAAACATAAAGAAAGAATTGACTCAATCATATTGTTTTGCGTCACATCTCTACAAATACATAAATGCATGAATATAGAGAATTTATTTATGATGATGAACCTCCAACTGAAAATTATTGGTGTACTGAACTCTGAAAAGTTCTAGTTCAATATGGGAGGTTTCTCTTGAATCAAAATCTAATAATATGAACTAACAAGTCAGTCTCTCGGTAATGGTCTATTTCACTTCTAAACTCAAATCACCTTGCCTACAATATGATCACAACATTATATAAGCAAACATCAAGTTTCAATATCATCACAGCATTTTACGAATATATACCAATACCAATATACTATAACATCTTGACTACATTTTTTGCGTCGACTGCAGTTTACTACCTCAATTTTTTCCCATCAGTCAGAACATGGTCCCGTCACAGGATGCCACATGAAATTAACACACACACACACACACACACATATACAAATAACCGAAGAAAAAAGTCAAATTGATCAGTTTACACTACCACAAAAGATTTCTTTGGGTCAAAGAGATTTGTTGCCTTTTCCTAAACAAGAATTCCAACTTGTTAAAATAAAAGATTTGGGACATGTATTGCTAAAACTAATCCCAAAACCTGTGGGGGACAAAGGTTACCAGAAAAAAATGGATCAAATAGGCAAATTGCCAAGTTTTTAATACAACAGGGTCATTTCCACTACCCCTAACAGGTGGCAAGTTGAAAAAAAATTACTCTAATTTCCCCTTACTGAATCAGTCCAGCCCACTTCGACAACAAAACTAAAATGATTAAAAAGGCACCTTGAAAAGTGTAATTATTTTATTCCAACTAGCATAAAAAAATTAGAGCTTTATTCATAAGGAGACCAACTGACTTGTGTAAATTGTTGAAAAAGATTAGACTGACTTGTGTAAATTTTACCCAAGAAAATTACTCAAAATCGCTTATTTACATCTTTATCTATGTATTTGACAACTTAAACAAAGTATGAAATGATAAACTGCTAAAACTGACAATAAAGTTATCCATAAAGACAATAATGTTGAGAAGGTATGATAGGATAACATAAATTCCAGGATCAAAGACCGGGTAGAAAATTCAAGGCATCTGACCTTGCAATATCAACTCTTATTATGGACTTCGGTTGGTTGGTCAAGAGGCCCTTTCCCAACATTTGAAATAGTCAATATGCTGTCAGTGCCATCGGCAGACAAGGTTCCTCCATGGTGAAAAGATGCTTGATTATTGAAAACATCCTCAACAGTAGTACACTGCTCTGTGTACTGTCTGTACCACATTATGCATCATAACCTAAGAGCAGCCTAAAATGCCAAGGAGCTCTCCATCCCCATACGTTTCCATGTTCAAATGTCAAAACCTGGCATTGCAAATTGAGCTGCAAAGGCCTCAACCCGTGCTTGGAGCTCAACAACGTCCTTGTTGCTCTCAAGATCTTTTAAGACAGCCTTCTGCAACTTCCCATAATCTCTCTGCACTATATTGGCGATTTTTGCAGCTCTATACAGAAATTCAGCGATCATTTCAAAATCAGTCTCCAGACATCCTCTTGAAGTCATGGCAGGGGTACCTGAGTAAGACACGATAAAGCTGTAAGAATGTATGACTATACACCAAGCATAAGAGAAGACTAAAAAATTTAATGAAATAAATAATCACACACCTATCCTTACACCTCCAGGAGTTATAGCTCCATTATCACCAAAGATAGCAATTTTATTCAAAGTAATATGACACATCTCGCATATCTTCTCATAAAATTTACCTGAAAAGACAAATAAAATATGCTTAGGTCTTGTCCCAATTAATAAACACAAAAAGTTTCCGAATTAACAAATTGTTGATAAAATCATACAGAGAGGAGCAATCAACAAATCAACAAAAGGGACAAAAAAATAGCTCCATGTGAGAAAGTCTAATAACACTTCTAGACAAGTGCAAGCAACAATTTCATAATTAAATAAGCAAATTGATTCATCTAGATCCAAGCATCCTCAACTACATGCCAAAAAAGCAATCACATAACTGTAATGCCAAAGAAATTAGGTGGGTTAGGGCACCAATACAATGCCTCAACGGTGTTCAGATGGTAGCCTGAGGTGTGAGGCACCAGAAGTACCAACATCTGTTTTCCAGTAAATTAGAGTGGGCCCAATGCAAATATTAGCCCCACTGTTCACACAACTCCCAACACTTTTTATATCTGATATTGATGATTTATAAACTATCCTCGTTTAAAATACAAAATAACCATTAACCAATAGGCACATATAATAAATGGGTATTTCAGTCAAAGAGGCAACCGAGAACTAAATGAACAGGAAAGTGGCATCATCCTATTTGTGAAAGCCTTTAATGAAAGATAAACAAAATGAAAGTCACAAACCTTAAATCGCTGCAATATTAAATAACAAGACAGAAATGCAATATTCCATGGTGTGCCGCATCAAAAGTTATAACGCAAGTAAACAAGAAATCAAATCAAGTACTGATAACATGCATGTATAGACTTAACTGACATAACTAACAAAATATTTTCAAAATATATGTAGGAGACAATCATATGACATACCTGTCAATCCTAAAGGCCTTAAATCCCAAAGTACTAGATGGTTGTCTGTACCCCGTGTTACTAGGCGGCATTTTCTTCTCAATAAAGCAGATGATAAAGCTTGGGCATTTCTCTTCACTTGCTGCATGTAGGCCTTGTACTCAGGAGTAGCCACTTGTTTTAAAGCTATGGCAAGAGCAGCAATATGGTTATTGTGTGGGCCCCCTTGCAAGGATGGGAAAACAGAAAAGTTTATCTTTTCTTCAAGGTCATATTGTTCGCTTTCATATCCCTGACTTACAAGTATCCCTCTCTTCCTTGGTTTGGTACCCTTCCTATAAAAAATTATGCCCCCCCTGGGGCCTCGAAGACTTTTGTGAGTTGTTGAAGTAACAATATCACAATAGTCAAAAGGACTCACACATTCCTGAAAAGAACACAAAGCCAAATTGATAAGTATCTCTTCAACGTTGAAAGTGCAACTACTACTAGTTTATAGTGCAAGACAAAAATGGAATTAGGCAAGCCAATATACACTCACAGGAAGTTTACTTTTTACTTTATATAGAAATAGATCTTATATCAGCTTAAACATTAGAATCAATACCAAATTTGGATTCAAAAAACACTTTTCAACGGAATATAGGAATCAGATATTCTGGATTCTAAATTTTATTGTCAAAATTTTGATTATATACTGTACACTTTACATTGGTGCAATTTAATGAAACTGAATCCATAATATTGTTAGCTGATATGTCAAGCGTATGCCTAATTCTGAATCTGCCACAATCTTTTTTATAATTTGGGATGAAGATGGTTCCCAAATTTCAAAGGAGACTCTTCTGTTTTATAAAGCACATTTCTTTCATAAAGATTTGTTTTCCTCATCATTCGTGATGTTGCTTCCCTCTGACAAAGCTCTTTTTCATATTTAAAAAATAATAATAAAAATTCATATAGAATCTTACGCCAATTTCTGTTGTAGCTTAGTTAATTATGTAGGTCACACACTTAAATTGCCAATGTAGAAACTCAGATAAGAGATAATAAAACAATTATTGTCACTTTCAGCACAAGAAAACAGAATGAATAACAGAAATTGCATGCAGAGACTATTGACATGTAATCATATATTTACATAATCAAATTCATATTATTAATTCGCAAGCTGATTGCCTTTATCTTAATTTTGTACACTTATTTAATATGGACTTCCTTTCAAACTTGACACTCTTAGAGCAGCTACAAATTTAATGGCATCAGGCAGCAAGTTGCACTCTAAGTAGGCTTTTTTGACATTTTTGGTGAACCTTAGGATACCCTTAAAAACACAGAGCAGTTTGTATTGATTGAGCTCAACAATTTGGCTGGAATAAGGATAAAGTTAATTTATGGATAGTATGCCATCCATAGGTGCCTTTTTTTTTTTTTTTTTTTTGCTTCTGCACAAATATTCTCCTATTAGAGGCAATCATATTCGAGACACAATCAACAATTAAATGTAGGCACTTCTCCTGGCAAGGTTTTGAACCTTAATTTGCCATGTTGTGAAGGATTACACCCAACCCATATTGTTTGTCCTTAGGTGCCTTTGTTTAGAATGGAATGCCCAAACTTCTAAATAGTGTCCTCTGTAGAATTGAACCATGATTGAAGAGATCCTTTGTCACACTTCCATTCTTTGACAGCTGTTGGTTAGCGGATCTTTATATCCCCTGTTTTCACTAATTAATTTTTTACTTCATTCAACACCAAATTCAGTTATAAATTCTAGCCAATCCAAGAATGGAGGCATAACACTAATAGCTTGGGAGAAGCACTTTCTTTCACTGCCACAAGATTAATAACTGCCAATAGTGCACAAAAGGATAACTTCCTCTGCATTCTCTACTATCTTTACTGTTCACAAAAGAGGGATCAGGTGGAAGGGCAGATGGTTAAAAAGAGTAACTAGGAACTACCACCAGTACCAACAATGCAAGCAGCCACTACCAATCTACCATTATGCTATGATGCAGTCAAAAAGAAGATTTAATTTGCAATGCAAGAAGACAGTGCGAATGAACTTTCCAATGTAATCGTCAACAAAGTACAGCCAATAATTCAATACTAAACTACCGGGAGTAAAGAATTTCATACCTTGGTTGCAATAAGCCCACTAATCTGGGCCATATCGCACATTAACACGGCTCCACATTTATCTGCAATATTCCTAAATCTGGCATAATCCCACTCTCGAGGATATGAGCTCCCACCACAAATAAGTATCTTAGGACGAAAATCAAGCGCCTTTTCCTCTAGTTTATCGTAATCAATATAACCCGTTTGAGGATTCACCTTGTATGGTAAACTCCCAAAGAATATTGACGCCCCTGAAACTTTCTTTCCGTTTGGAGTATAGTAACCATGACTAGTGTTCCCTCCGGATGGCGTATCCAACCCCATGATACGATCACCAGGCGACAACAATCCCGTGTATACAGAAAAATTCGCAGAGGTACATGAATAAGGTTGCACATTCACGCCCCAACTTTTAGGGTCCAGATTGAATGCTGCCAATGCGCGTTCACAAGAGAGCGTTTCAATCGCATCAATATATTGATTCCCTCCATAATATCGCGCACCCGGCATTCCCTCTGAATATTTATTCGTCAAATGGCTTCCAAGTGCTTCCATCACAGATCGACACACAAAATTCTCCGAAGCTATCAATTCAATCCCTTTATACTGCCTTATTTTCTCATTCTCCATTATCTCATAAATGTCAGGGTCCGCAACTTGTAGGGATTGATTACCCCATGATCGAACAGCCGCTCTCCGCGCCTCGAGATTGGGGTCCAACGAAACCCACTTGGAAGAAATGGAAGACGATGAGGATGATTCGCTATCTCTTCGCCTCTTCAAGCACATCGAATGCCCGAGGATACGAAACTCTTCGACCTTCTTATCTTCATCTTCATTGGACTCTACCGCCGAGTTCCCATTCTCCGCTTTGTGATTATCCGTCAGCGGCTCCAACAACTGAAGCGGAACCGGAGGAATCGGGAGCGAGGGATCACAAAAGCTTGAGTCGAGCTGAAGAGAGATGGAATCGCCGGTTATCTGGGTCCGTTGAGGCGGCGAAGCATGAGAAGAAAAGCCAAGAGACAAATTTGATTGCGAATGGAATATGTCCATCAAAAGCCCAAAACAAAACCGATCCTTAATCCCCCAAATTGTCGAATTCTTCTCAGATTGAAGAAACAAAACTTATATGTACAAGTAAATCCGACGACAACCACAATATCTCCTAAGAGCAACAGTAACAGCAACAGATACATCGACAAGGGGAGTTGAAGAAAGTGCAGTGACAGTACCGGTAAATGGAATCGATGTAGCAACGAAAACGCATTATCGACGATATAACACAACGAGGGGGAACAAGAGAACCCAAACCCCAATCGTTGATGGTCAATGGAAGAACATGGCAATGGACGAGATCATGAACATGCTAGGCAAGGCTTGTGCTTGGCGTGGGATTGACGAGGAATGCACTCGGACGTTGCTATTTGCTGGTTTGCAATGTTGTGGCGCGTTGCGACTGGTTGGCGGGCTTGACGCTGTGAGCTGGCGATATTTTTTTATTTCCCCCTCTTTTTACCGGCGAATAAATTGGCGGTTGATGAATTTTTAATTTTTTTATTATTAATATTTTATTTGAGGTCCAAAAAATTGATATTGAGATAATTTGATTTAATATAGTAATCCATATCAACGCCATTCATGTTAAATTTTTTAAAAAAAATAATCTTTTAATCCTTCAACTTTTAACTCACTTGTAACTCAATTCCTCAATTATGACTCATTGTGACTCAATCTCTCAACTATAACTCGCTGCAACTCAATCTCTCAACTTTTGATTCACCTATAACTCGATCCTTATTTTTTAATTTTTTAAAAAAAATTTCTTATCAAATATGAGGGATAAAAAAAGCTCATATATTATTTTAAAATATCTTCCACTTGCTCATTGATATGAGATATAAGCTAATATGAAAAAAATTAACAAAAGTTTAAGGATTAATTTATAAGTAATTCAAAAGTTGAGGAACTGAGTCATAGGTGAGTTATAGTTGAAAAATTAAGTCACAATAAGTCATAATTAAGGAACTAAGTTATAAGTGAATTAAAAATTAAAAGATTAAAAAATTAATTTTTTTAATTTTTTTTATACAAGTATAAAGAATAAGCTTCCTCACAACTAAAAAAACAAACAAACAAACTCTCTCTTGCATTACCAAGGGTAATGGGTAAATATGATGTTGGTGCCTTTTTGCGGGACTTACTGATAAAACGAAATCTATCTTTGCCTCCTTGATCGAAGCTTTAGCACTTAATAGTCTTAAACGGCTATGCTTTTGGTTATTGATCTAAGTTGCAACAAAGTGATTTTTGAAAGTGACTTTCTTTTACTAGTCTCCTGCATTCAAAAAGGTCAACCTGATCTTGGAGACTAGAGGTGTAGAAACATTATTGAAGCTATCATTAGTTTTGTAGCTTCTAAAGCCGAGTTTTCTACAGCCTTTGTTCCAAACAAAGGTAATTATGCCGCTAACTTCATTGCAACTATTGCTCTAAAGGTTGTGAGTCTAATAGAAGGATGTCATCACCATCACTTTCTTTGTCCTGTCTACTAACTAAGGATGCCATGACTGTTAAATCACCTTCAATTGTTTGCGAGCCCTCAACATCAGAGATTGAAGCTGACTGATGTTGTTGTTTTCCTTCTTGTTATGTTGTTTTTGTTTTTTGCTATTTGCTGTCTTTTCTGCACTATGAATCTTGTTCTCTAGACTTTTATTCTGATTTTGAAATGGCATGCTAGCTTTTTGCAACAAAAAAAAAAATTGCTAGATATGATTATTTGATTGAATCAAATTTAAGCATTATCAAGCCCAATTATCAATATAAAATAACTATAATCAAAAGTGCTTATATAAATTGAGCTTTTTGAACTTCCCATTAAGATCCTATATTTTTTAGAACTAGGCCTAGAAAAATAGAAATATTTGCCAAAAAAATTAGGCTTGGCCCTTAAAGATATGTTAGTACTCGGACTACTCCAGTTAAGCAATTGTTTTAAGAACCAAACTAGTTGGACTATCGACTAAAACTATTAATGACTTGATTTGGATAAAAAAATCATTTTCATGGTTGATTTGAATTGAACTACAATTAAGCTATTGTTGAACTGAAAATCAGAGTTAAGGAAGAAATTAGATTGATTTTTAAAAAATTGGATAAGTTTAAACTTAATATAAGAAAAGGCTTAAAAATAAAAAATAAAAATTAGACCTTACCAAAAACAAACTTCATTATTATAAAAAAAAAATCATTTTTTCACCCTCACCTATATATGGCATGAGACCATTTTTTTTTTTTACAAAAAGATGAGCCCATTTTTCATGAAAGATATTGACACTTATATGTGCAATTATAAATATGTTTGAGTGCCTGATTTAACCAAAGTCTACATATATTTTGACACATAAAATTATAATTTATAATGTTGTAGGATTATCACAATGTTGTGTTGTTTTATTAACAATTAAACATCTTGTGAATTTATTCCTTATATATTAAATAAACATTTAATATTATGTTTTATTTAATTATTATGATATCAGTTTGATTGTTGATCTAACCTGTTGAAGCATAAAAATTAAGAGTCACTTACCTTTTCAGTTTAACATGTTATCTAGATTTTAAAACATTGGTTCAGGCTTTGTATTTTTTTTTCTTTTTTTAGTATGTGTGTCGCTGAAATTATTCAAAATTATTTTATTCAAATTGTTAATTTCGTAAAATAGGATGGTTGAAATTGTTTGATTTATTTCAATTTTTTTTTAGATTAATATATGAAAACAAAACAATTTGTTTAATTGTATGTTGTCAATAACAACCAAACTTAAAAAATACGCAATTAATTGGGAAAAAAAAAAAGAATTCCATTTGAAAGAGTACCATCTTGGCTTGATGTGAAACTGAATTTATGCCACGTGTTGAGAATAAAAATACATATAAATATTAAAAAATAATTTTAATATCTTGAAAGTAAAATATATTATTTTTTCTTTTATTTTATCTTAATTATAAATAATTTTATTTTTAAAATTTATACTAATCCCTTTTAAAATTAATAGTTAAAAGTTACAATATATAAATATATCTTCTACTTTAAGTTTTTATTTTCACCCATTTAATCATTAATTGATAATTATTATTTTTGATATATTATTTAAATTTTTATTCATATTTTAAATTTATTAGTCATAAAACTAATTTATTTAGTGTTTTTTTAAAAAATTAAATGTATACTCCATCATTTGAAAAAATATAAAACATTTTTAATTGAATTTCAACTCAAATAAAATGGTTACTTGTCTTTAAAATTGGATGTTTCACTCTAAATAAATATAAAATAATTTATTCATTATGGACATTTTTGAAAAAAAAAAAATCATTGGTTATATCTTTAAACACTAAAAATACTTTATCTTTTTTTAACATTCAACTCTTAAAAAATAACCTCTTAAAAAATGCCTCATATTTTTTAATAAAGGAAGTAAATTATTAAAATAATATTTTAAACATGTTTCTGCCAAAAAAAAATTAATGAAATAAGAGATAAATTAATCAATATAGATCATGTTTATGTTTATTTAAATTTTATAATCTTGATTAATGAGACTAAAGTGTAAGTTTTAAAAATAAAGAAGAAGTCTTTATAATTCTAACAAAATAAAAGGAATGATAACATATTTTACTTTATAATTTATTAATTTGTACAAATTAAAATCTAAAGAATATTTTATTTTAAAAAATTTTATGTTCATACATATTAACAATATAAATAATAAATTATTTTATTTTAGAGTGTATTATCTCATGTAAATTAAAATTTAAGGTTTTCTTAAGATATCCCTACAATCGACAAGTATGAGACTAAACTTTTAATGGGATAATACTTACAAGAAATGGCTTCTATTTTGTAATGTGTTACTCTTATACATATTAAAAAGTATCATTATTTTTTAAAATTTCTCACATTTTGCAATTTAAAATATAATCTAGCTTATTCATTTTCAAAATGTGTTGCCCATACATCACCTTAAAGAAAATAAAAAATATGCTATAATGAATTGTACTACAATTTATGTGATAATATTATTTATAAATCATAATTATAATGGTTATAAATCAAGAAAATAATTCACCATTTATCAATCATACATGTTAACATTGCAAGTAATATAATGATTATAAAGAAAAGATTAGGTGTATAGTGGAAGATAAATTCATTAACATTATATACTTAATTTGTAGCTCATAATTTTTGTTACTTAAACTTGAGGCACATAACTACATCAATATTTTTTATGGGTGTTCAAATTATAATTAAATTTTACATATAAATAATATAATAATAGGTTTTTATTCCTTATGCATTTGAAGAATATAAACAAAAACTTATTTTATATATACTCATACAAACTATTTTGATTTGTGACCCTGTGTTAATAATAAATACTCTCTTCATTTAAAAATGTAAGACTTTTAACTAAATTTTAACCTTAATAAGGTGATTACTTATCTTTAAACTAATCTTATTTTTTCATATTTATTTTTATTTAATAGGGTGTTTCACCCTAAAATAAATATAAAGTGATTTATTTAATAGAGGCACTTTTGAAAAAAAGGTAATGATTACACCTTAAAAGTCTAAAAATTATTATATTTTTGAACATTCAATCCCTCAAAAAATACCTCATACATATAAAAAATTCTTTGTATATCTAGCACATATTATTTTACTAAAAATTTTGTATTCACCGTTAATTGTTAGTATAAAATCCTAAATGATCTCTCAAAATATAAAAATCTTATTATTTTACACCTTATTTAAATTTTTAAAATTTATAAATGTAAACCCTACTAATATTTTTTAGTGGTAGGTCTTACACGCTACTTTTTTCAACCATACTATTTAAATTTTTAAAAAATTAAGTTTATTAAAATATCATATTCCCTCCATTACCTTTAGAGCTATAACATCCTTAAATTTTAAATTGAAATATTTAAGCCTGATTAAACTAATTAAGTTTATTAGAAAAGTATGTGGCTAGAAAGACTTAATGGACGTGTTTGGTTACCTCTCTAGCCCTAAACACAGATCCAAAGGAAGTAGAATCACCCGAGAATGAAAAGAGCAAGAGAAATTAAAAGGCTTCTGTGTCATATATCACAACTTGTGGACTAGGCCACCATGGCACCTCTGTGTTAACACGCCTGAGGAGGCCCTCTCTGAGCTATGCATTGCAACACATTGTGGGTCTGCCATGACGTATGGTTACTTTTTTCTGAAAAATGATTACAAAATAAAGCAAAAGAAGAGAGAGAAAAACAAAGGGGTGTGAAGGAGCAACTGAAGAGCTATGCTAAGGTTTAGAAGATTCAAAGTTTTAGAGTGACTTGAAGTCTTAAAACATTAGAGGTAAGATCTCTAAGTTTAAATCTACTTACTTCTTCCATTTTTCTTGATGATGAAAGTCAAGGTTCGATTAATAATTATGATTTTCGATCCATTAGGTTATGGGTTT